AAGGTTAAAATATTAAACGGTCCCTTAAACTTTGTTACTTTATTTAAATAAGTTTCTAGAATTTTTTAATACATCAAAATATGTTTTTTTTGGTTGCCCTCCGGTTCCAAGGATTCTCCTTGACTGATCTGAACTGACTCAGGTAGCACACATGGCTTTGGTGGGTGAGTCTTCCAGCGGGGATTTTTTGCATACACAAAAAATCAAACCTGAGACCTTGCTTAAGCGATATTAAGTTGTTTATCACTTGAACCAACCCCGTTGGTATAAAATATGTTTTTTAAACTTCAAATTTGCATCAAGTTCTTGGTACTTAACTTGTATCCAAATAAGTCTCTAATCTTTAATTTATTGCTAAATAAATTCTTAACATAAATACATATTTTATTCAAAAGGGCTAAATTAAGTACAAATCAAAATGATGGTTTTTTTTCTGGTTAATAAAATATTCTATTTAATAAAATGATAAGGGTTTTGTAATAGTTTAGTAAAATTTTAATTAAGTGATATTTTTGGGGACCATGGAGATGTTCCCTTAAATATATATGGAATACACTTAAGATTGTAAATAAATCGAGTTTGAATGAATAAATCTTTGTTTATGTTTGTTTGTTAAATTCTAAACCTATTCTTGTTTGATTTTCTTCATTAAGAATTTTATAATTATGTTCGTGTTTATTTATTTAAAATTATGTGTCTGTTCATTTAATCTTTGGGAACTTGTTCATTTAATATCTATGAACATATTTGTTTAGTATGTTCATAAAGACTAAACGAATATGTTTGTAATCATCAAGAAAATATTTTTTTTGAATATATTTATAACATATAATTAAATATGTTAATGATGAATGATGAAGTCAAGATTGAAGCATGATGAGACAAATTGTTTAACTTTAATAAGATCTTAAAAAAAATTAAACCATAAAAATTAAAAGATGAGGAGTTTAATTCCACTAAATTTAAAATTCAAATGTCTGAAAATAATGAAATCAGATAAAACAGGGGCAAGACTTAATTCCATTAATTTTAAAACTGACAATGTCCTAAAAAAATAATTATACCAAGAAAATTTGGGAGTGGTGAAGGCTTAATTATAATGGTCTCAAAATTATCAATGGCCTAAAATGTAATTAGACCATAAAAGTTCATAGAACCAGTACCCCTCCTACCTATAACGCAAATGATAAACAAATAGATGGTAAATGAACACATTTAATATTTTTAAGTAATAAAATAATCAAACATAAATGTTAATAATATATTATAAATAACACAACACCTATATATTTAAGAATCTTTTATAAAAAAAATATAAACATAAAATTATAAACTAATAAACAAGATAAACATACCTTTGTTCAAATTCATTTAATTAATAAATAAGTAAACTTTATCTATACTTGTATATTCAATTTAATGTGAAAATAAACGTTAATATATAAACAATTCATGAATAGCTTGATAAGTATTAATTTTTCAATAAAATAATAATTTAAAATTAATGAAGACTTAAAATAGAAAGATGAAGAATTTGGGGGCGGAGACACCTCCCACACTGGGCATAGTTCCTTCCCCGAAACAACCAACCAGCAATGTGAAGAGTCCCCCTCCAGTCCAAACCACAGCCTCTGCGACTACGACTTCAATGGCAAAGAAGGTGTTTGCATGAATGAAGGGTTCCTGTTTTAAATTACATTTTAAAAACGTTATATAACTAAATAACAACAGCCCCAAATAAATTATGACTTACACAAAGAGAAAAGGAACAAGACAGTGACATGTCATGTAATGGCAATGAAAGGTGGTAGGAAGGGAGAATTATGATGAAGGCATGCACTATAGAATAATTGCAACACCCAGCTTATACCAAACATCACACACTCTCTTCTTCTTCTTCTTCTTCTTTTTTCATATCTAAAAAAAGCTAAATTATAAAGCCAAACAAACCCACACGTGATGATATATATATATATGTTTGGGTAAATTACGCATTTAGTACCTAAAATATCAATTTTGATATATTTTAGTATCTAAACTTTAATTTTTTTTCAAAATCATACTTAACGTTTAGTTTTAGTTTCATTTTAGTACCCCGCCGTTAAAATTTTAACGAAAACTTTTGCACCGTGACATTTTTCATGGGTAAATTATATCATTCATCCCTTAACTATCTTCGCACTCCTATTTTGATCATTGAAGCTTAAAAATTTTCAATTTAGATTCTCAACTTTCTAATTGCTCATGTTTTAATCACTCTAATTTATTTTATTAATAATATTTTGTGACATGGTAATTTTATTATTTCATTAATAATATTTTGTGACATGGTAATTTTATTATTTCATTAATAATATTTTGTGACATGGTAATTTTATTATTTCATTAATAATATTTTGTGACATGATATTTTAATTATTTTATTAATATATAATTAAAATATAAAAAATTAAATTTGAATTAGAGTGATTAAATTAGGAGTAATTTGAAAGTTAAGTAATTAAATTAAAAATACTTAAACTTCAATGATCGAAATAGGAGTGAAAATATAGTTAAGGTATATTTACCTATAAAAAAGTGTCAAGTTGTAACAAATTTGTTATGTTTTTAATGACAAGTATTAAAATGAAACAAAAACTAAATGTTAGGTATAGTTTTAAAAAAATTGAAAGTTTAGGTACTATAATTAGAGATGGCAATGGGTCGGGTTTTTGGTCAACCCGACCCGAAAATATGCACCATCCACCCGAACTCGACCATAAAATTTTATACCCTCCACCCGACCCCAACATGAGACCCGACCCGATATAAAATAAGAACTTAATTAAAATAATAATAAAAATTTTAAGGAAATTATATTATTATTCTCAAATCGGGGTCGGGCTAAAGTTTTTTACCCTCCACTTGAACCCGGCCCGACCCAAACCCAATTTTTTTAATAAAAAAATATCCGACCCTATTGTGTCAGATCGGAACCCGTCGGATTCTAGTTAAATTGTCATCTTTAACTATAACAGACCAAAACTAATAATTTAGATACTAAATTTTTAATTTACCCTGTATGTTTTATAATGCAATAGTTTTTTTTTTTTACTTTAACAGTATATAATTATATATCTTATAGGTTAAAAGAAAGAGAATGAAATAGGTTGACTGTGTAGACCATGACGAATCTAGAAATATTTTTAAGGGTAGGCACACATATATTAACAATATAAAATTTTTAAATTGGATGAGTATAAATAAAATTTCAAGGTGGACATCACCCTTAAAATAAGTAACTAATCAAAGAAATCTCAGAATTAAATATGGGCACGAAAAATTTCAGATAGATACAATCAGTAAAATAAGTAAAAGAAAATTCGGATTTCAGGTGTGCTCCCAGCTTACCAAGCCCAATGTGGGTAGATAACAGATGTATTTGTTCAATAAATGGTGTAAATTGTGGTTAACATATTTTTATTAATGGAGGACCACGAGAGCAGAAATATAACAGCCAACCGCTACCAAATGATATAAACCCCTCTGGTCCTTGAGAGAGATTGTTGTATTGTGTGTTTGCCTCCATGCTCAGATCACATGATATCTAACTAATTATAGAAATATTAATTCTTTATGCTTATTGCTTAATCATTAAGAATAGGGAAAAATAAAGACTTGGTAATATTCAATATATATAAAGATACCTAAACATCCATATTATTCATGAAAATAATAAGATTTGTAGATAAATAAATATTTTATTTTGGCAATGATGGAGATAGCTTTTTGAAAATGCAAATCATACAAATGATTCTATTTGAAATCTTATAAAATATTTAATATTTCTAATATTTTATACAATAAAGGTAGCTTTTGAATGGGATAGGAGTAAAAAATGTTAATTTTTTTAATCTATGAAATTTATTTGGATCATATTTTAATCTGATTTAAACAAATAAGTTATTTGTTTAAATTCAATAACAAGACTGGAAGAGGGATGAAGTGTGGACACAAACAAGATGCCAATTTTGAATTAATAACAAGCTATCTTGTCAACATCACAACAAGTAGGAAAGGTAACACGTGTATATGACTCTCATATATTATTCGAAAACTGTATTGAGAGAAATGTATTAGTGATTAATTAATATCCTTTGGTAACTCAATTAATTTTTCCGATTGATATATGACAAACAAAACTCTCTCTCTCATGGCCTCACAGTTTGGCATCATGCATATACATTTATTGCTACGTATGGTGGAACAAAGATGTTTTTATTCCCTCGTAATTTTCGTTTTTTTAGTGGCAATGAATTAATGATCGGAAGTGAATTGGTGAACTAAAAGTAGGTTATTTATTCATTACTTGACATCAAACTAGTAATCAATAATCTATAAGTATATTCAAATATATTGTAGGATTAGAACTAGTCAAATTTGAAAACAAATCTAATTATTTTGAATTTTCGTAATGCAAAGATAAATTAAAAGGGGTTAGAAACTTCAGCCAACAACTAGTTAATATAGTAGGTTGAGATATTAAATTTATTAAACAAGGTCAGAGGTTTAAACCCTGACGTTTGCGAATGAAATAATATGGGTTGAGGGGTCGCCCTCGTTTCTACAGCGTCCGATCTTAACACTGCAGAGGCGAGGGTGACATTTTCAACTCAATTTGTTCTATTCGCAAACGCCAAAATTTAGACCACTGACCTTACTTAAGAGACCTATTGCTTTATCCCATAAGACCAACTAGTTGCAGGTAGATTTAATATATTCTTTGATAATTAAGAAAGATTATAATTTATGATTATGAAAATAATTATAGAAATGAGTATTACATAATCTTTTAGTTACTAATTAATTGGGCCGATTATAACAATAAATAAAACGCGGATATATGGGTATGAAACGAAAAAATAATCGTCCCCTTGTCATCTTATTCAATGTCATATTCATGGCCATGGCTGCTCCATTCCTCCATCGACGAATCCCTTCTTTTATAGGCCCCACCTCCTCCCCTCCCTAGCTACCTCCATTTCTCTTCCTTTCCTTTCTTTTCTTCCCATTTTGGATTCCCTTCAATTCTCTCTCTCTCTTCCCAAAAAAAAACTTTCATGAAGAAGAATAATGGGAAGGAAACACATGATTTCATGAACGTGGAATCCTTCTCTCAGCTTCCCTTCATCCGCCTTTCCCCCATTAAAGAAAAGGGTATCCGTTTGTTCGGAAAGGAATTCGGAGGCCGCGACTGTGTTGACTCGGCCACCGTCAACGATTCAGAGCCAGACTCAGCTCACAACAACAAAGACACGACCAAGGAAAACGAGAATGAAGACGATAACAATAGTATCAGCAGAAGATTTGAGTGTCACTATTGTTGCAGAAACTTCCCCACTTCCCAAGCTTTAGGCGGTCACCAAAACGCTCACAAAAGGGAACGCCAACACGCGAAACGACATCACCTAACCCTGCAACACAGTTCTTCACCTCATGATGCTCATAATATTTATGGGTTCTTCAACTATAAGCCAGCCTCAGCTCGGACACCGACAATGTCGACTTACCCTTCGTGGAACAATAGTATTAATAGCAGCAACGGTAGGTTTTATGGGAACCAAAGCTCGTTTTCTCAGCCACCGCTCATCAATGGCAGCCCACTGGGGGTTATGGAGAATCCCGGCTTCTACAGTTCAAAGTAGCGCGTGTAATTTCAATCGTGACCGTTCATCTACGCATCCTCTGCCATTTTTCGCCGGCGATGAGTTGAAGCAGCCATCGCAGGTGGTAGCCAATGTTTCGAGTTCTCAGAGTCGTCGGTACGTTTATGAATCGAAACCTAACGTTAATGACCATGTTAGCTTGGATCTACATTTATAATGATCATTTCGTAACAACTTTCATCCATCTCCATCACCCTTTTTAACATCTCGGATTTTACTATTTTTCGGTATGATTTCATATTGTAAATGAAATAATTTACCATCTCTTCATTAATCTCAGAAAAAAAACATTTTGATTTTGTATTATTCTTAAATACTATTATTTATGGATTTATTTCCGCCATATCCCCTAAAAGATACACTTGCAAAGTGCAAACTGGGTCTCCCCTAGATTCAGAAAATCTTCACACGTGTGAGGAACATTTTTGTCTTCGAAGTGGCTATGAGAGGGGAGCACATGAACATCTCTGTAGCTACACACGTGTACTGTGCACATAAATCTGCATGTTGCTGTCTGAAACAGCTGCAAAGCGTGAGAGACAAGTACTGCAACCGAGACAAAAATCACACGTACATATATATAACAAGTTATGATTCATTTATATTTAATGTGAAATTTTTAATTTTATATATTTTTGGATTGTTAAAGAAATAAAAATAAATAATTAAAATTATTATTTTTCATGTAAATAAATATTATCCTAATTAGAAGTTAAAAAAAATACACAATTGATTATATATATATATAAAAGTATTCTCATCAGCAAAAGGTTTTTTGTTTTTGTTTTGCCCTAAGAAAGAAGATTTTGACGAAGGAAAGGGCACATACATGAAGAGTGACAATTAGTCCACCATCTTTATATTCTCACCTTTTCTTTGTACCTTAGCCTTTTAAGACTGAACCAGAGCAATCAATGCACGTCATTCAGTGGAAATTTCAAACAATCTACTTATCTTCACCTCTTGATATTTTGTTTCATATTTGGGATTCGTGGTTTTCAGCTCTCGCACCATTCTTGCAATGTCCTTGGATCATTTGGGTTAATTGCACTGACGTCCTCGTTTTTATGGACTTCTTTGGTTTAATCTTTAAAGCAGACAAAGATAATTAAAGTTTGAATAATTGTAAAAATGAGAGAATGGGTTAGTCATCGCTTCAAAATAGATGGGGAGAGGCTATCTGTGGTTTGACTTAAGGTTAAAAAGATTGCATGTCAATATTACAATGCTTGGTGAAGTAAGTCCATTGCTGAAGCAATTTCTAAAGGTGTGTTCATGGAGCCCTTTCAAGCAATGCCTTAAACTAAATCTAGTTTTTTAGAATAGCCAAAGTGCATTTCATGCGATGGAACAACTCAAAATAGTTGAGAAATTTGTCAACATACTCAAAAACAAATTTTAAACAATCTTTGGGAGTATCCACCATCACTTGACATCACATTTAACTTTACTATAATATCAATTAATTTAAAAATCCAAAGAATCGTAGATGTGTACTGAAGATATCCGTTTTTGTCCGGATTATAATTTTTTTATTATTATTATTTTATTTTTCAGGTTACAGGCCTGAATATACAACCCAAACCAACAAACCCAAATTACAAGCTCAAACATGCCCAACATTTGAAAACCCTAAATGACTCATAATGTTAACATTTTAGCTAATCTTAACTTAGGGTTAGCAATTTTCCGCCGCCGCTCACTACCGAGGAACCCGTCGCCGCCGCCATCATTCATTTTGTCCACTGTCGAAGAGCCAAGCCGAGAAGCAAGTCATCGACGCTGCACCATTCACACCGATTCTGAGCCATCTTTGTTCCACCAAACCATATCAAATCAAAATAAAATACAATAATAGCAACCAATCCCAAAAAATTCGGAAGCCACACCCAAAAAATCTGGGATCCCAACCGTGACCCATTCCCCTATCAACTAAATCACCATAGCCATCATTATCATATGACAAAAAAAAAAAAACACACAGAGTAATAAAAGGAAAGGAGGGAAGAGCATAGAAGGATTTTTTTTAGTTGGGACCAAATTTTTTTATTCCAATCGACTCGATCGAATGTTTACCCTACATGTAATATCATGCTTCTGACGGAAATTAACAACTAACAACACGATAATCTTTTGATGATTAATTTATGAGTATCAAAACATTACTGATAAAAAAATCATTTCAACTTAATATAATTATTATTAGTGTACTTTTATCATTATATTTAAAAGGTATAAAATTAAATCTTCTTACTTTATTTGTTTAAAAAAAATACATTAATCTTTAATACTATTTGTATTTATGTCAAAATCGACTTGTTATAAGGTATGCTTATTATACTCATGATAACTTATGAAATTAATATGACTATATTATTGTTATTGATGACAATTTTTATATTAGGTTATGGTAGTTATAAAGTAATATATTTTTAAAAATATTTTTTAATTATTTAATAATAAATACTTAATTATTTTTGTAGTCACTGATATTTGAATCCGTGATCTTTAAACATAATAATGATTCATTTAATCAGTGAAATAATTTGGTTCATGCTATTGATAACAAATTTTAACAAAATATATTTACGATGACAATGATAAATAACATAGAGTAAATCACAAATTCCATTTAAGGGTCTGCCTACTAAAAAAATTGATTAAGATTATAAATTATAGGCTTAAATATAAAATAAATCCATAAACTATATTGTTTTTTACGAATTGTGTGCTTAAATTATTTTTTAATCATCTAGGTGTTTAACTTTACAAATTTTACCACTTTAGTTGGTTGAGTTCTAAGAGGCACTAAAATAACCCATTTAATGATACGTGTGACAATTTAAAAAATTTATTTAAAAATATTTTATTTTCGAAAAAGTCCCAAAATTTTCTAAAATACAAAAAAATTTCAAACTCCCTAAATCTCTTAACTCCACATGGGATAAACCCAAAGCATCAATTTGTCGTCACCCACCTCAATCACCGTTGGTTGTCGCCGACGACCTACTCATCGATCGTCGAACTTCACTACCGACCATTCCATCACTGTCAACATTGAAACCCGAAATTTCTCTAAATTCTAAATCAACAAATATTAAATCTCTAAATCCCTTTTAATATCTAAATCAATTTCACATTGCTATCGCCATTTCATGTCCTTGCTGATGGGGAATGTTCTCAGTGTTGTCGTGACTGGAGTGTAGTGCTGGTTCGTGGGTAATCCAATTGGTTCGTGGGTAATCCAATTATTTGGGTTTCAATTGCACATCAAGTAAAAGGGGAAATCAATTGCGCAGGGAAATCAATTGCATGGGTAATCAATTACATAAAATATATCGATTTTAACTGAGTAATTAACAAAAATGAGGTATAGTGGCCGACGGGTGGGTGGTTGATCGCTCACGATGATGGCATCAATCGTCAGATCCCACTTCCAGCCACTCCTTTGTCGCCGGCCAAAGAGGAAATTAGGTTTTTGTGTTTTGGAAATTAGAGTTTTTATGAACTGTGAGGTATTCTATGTAAAATCGGAATGTTTAGGGTTTTTTTTATAAATATAATAATATTTTATTTTTTTTAAAATAAAATTTAAAATTTATCAGATTATGACACGTATCTTTTAACGGACTTTTTAACTATTGTTATAATCGAGACAATTAAAATAATAACATTTGTAACATTAATCATTTGAATAGTTTTAGAAGTAAAAATAAAGATACTGTGAAAAACAATGTAATTTGAACATTTATTTTATATTTAAGTCGAAATTCTATAGATAAAATATTAAAATTAAATTCACTCTGGTCGGCTATGATGATCATGTTTCCGAACCAATGAAAAAGGGGTATAAAATTTGAACCGGACCCGAGTAAAACGTCTAATTAAACGCAAGGGCAAGGCAGAGTTTTCAGTCAAACGTAAAAAAGCCAAAAGGATCGTTGAAAACAGTTACAATGAATATAAAAGTGAAGAAGGAGAGGCCTTAGGCCTATTCTTTTGAGCTTTAGCTTTATTTTTCAGATTTTCTTCCTCTCTTTATTGAGATGGCCAGAGGTTTTCTTTGATCATAAGTTCTGAATTCTCAGCATTCAATATGATGGAGGTATTTTTGTCATTTTTACCAGCTATGTTTGATTAATGGATTAATTAAAACTTGGTTCTCCTTTTATGATCCTCTAAGATTTAGTAATTTAATGTAGTTTTTTTTGTTGTTGAAATTTTTGGTGTTTGGATCTGTAGAAAATTAATTGCAATTTGTTCTTAGGTAAGGTTTGAATTATTCCTTTTAGTTGAATATATAATCTTGAGAGAACCAGAGCGGTAAAAAATGAAGCCAAATTTTGGAGGTCTAGTCGTTAGATCTCTAAATTATTCAGCATTTGGAAATGAGTGAAACGTCTCTCTTTTTCATTTTTTCACTTTTCGTGTTACGTCTGATTAATAGAAAAATTAGACTTTGATTTTCCAGTTATGATCCTTTTCGTTGCCCAAAATCGGATAGCTTTTATCTTTAGAAAATTAATTGAGATTCGTTATACACCAAATTAAGCACAAAGAATGAGCTGAAAGATTAAAGAAATTGAAAATTTGTTCCCAGGTAGAGTTTTGATTGATTTTACATAAATTTTGCTGCGTTGCTTTCTCCTTCTAGAAATATATCTTAATTTTTGTTTACTCCTTAAATAGTCAAATAGCTAGCAAAATATATTTCACATATTGATCGAGGGATTGAATTTGGCGATGGACATTTTTTTGGGATGAAATCTGGTTACCCATATAAGTTGTTTTCTGTCATTGATTTTGTCTTAGAAGTTGAATCAATAGGTTTCCTTATTTCTGAAAGGGTTTAAGACTTGGAAGACTTTTTTGGTTGTCAAGTAGATTTGTTACCAAACCAGATACTTACATGTTGTAGTTGGCATCATATTTGTGTAGGCATCACCAAGTACAGATCCGCCTACAACCACGAATCCGCCTGCAACCACAGACCCCCCTACAACTACAGACCCACCAGCAAGTACAGACCCTCCTGCAGGTGATGTAGAAAATGATCCGGGCAAGATCAAAGATGCAAAAGAGGCAGGTCCTGCATTTCACTGTGATATTTGTGATGCAGAACTGCTTTTCAAGATAACTCAAGCGCTCCTCCCAGGGTTAGCTACTGCTTGTGTTGACAATACAACAGGTGGTGTTTTCACGTCCCCGGGTTCAGTAGCTGCGGACTTAAGAAAAGAATTGGTGGAGTATCTTACACAAAGAACTGAAACTTATGTGGCTGAATCTGTTGTCTTGGAAGGTGCTCCAGAGGTGGAAGCATTTGACAATCCTTATGATATCATTGCTTTTCTTATTGATGAGTTTGCTGTTTCAAAGAGGAATTTATTTAGTCGGGTTTCAGCATTGCTACTAAGCGAGAGGAGAGAAGACAGTATCGACGATTTTGCTCACCAGATGGAAATTAATGGGTTTTGGCCGGTTGACAAGAGAGAAGCGATTGTACAAACTCTGCTGAAGAATGTTGATGTCAAGAACGAATATCACTGTAACATGAAATTTGAAACTGCAGAAGAACTTTTGCTGCATATGCCAACTTGCAGCTTTAGGGTAATGACCTGTTCAAGTGAAGGGTGTGACGCTAGATTTTCGGCTAACAGAGCAGAGAAGCACGATTCAGTTTGCCCTTTCAAGATAATTCCATGTGAACAGAAGTGCCCAGATTTCCTCATGAGACGTGATATGGACAGACACTGCATAACTGTCTGTCCGATGAAGCTCGTGAACTGTCCTTTCTTTTCAGTGGGTTGCAAAGCAGCCGTACCTAGTTGTAAAATTGAAGAACATCAATCTGAAGAACTCCATTATCACATCCTTTATATTCTTCAAGGCATGTACAAGGAAGCATCTGAGGAGGTTTTAAAAGAACGGGTTGATAAAATAGAGGAGGTAAGTCAAGATGTGATTGGGAATTTCTTGCTCTAATACATATCTTTCGTTACTGTTTTTTAAGTCATTGAAAGAATCATCTTGATGAAGAAGTTCAAAGAGTTTTTTTAACATTACAACTTTTATCACTTAAAATCTCTCTCGAAAACAATTGAACTTGTAGACACCTTTATTAGTCCAGTTTTTTGAACCAAACAGTTAGTATGTACTTACGATAGCCGAATAACTCTATGTGGAGATGAAAAATGTTAATGAAAGTTGCATCAAAAGGTGCCTACAAGATTTAGGATATCATGATAGATACGATATTTGAAGGAGTTGCTAATGCACATACATATTGCAGCATTTCTTTCACATATGGTCTATTGCTTTTCAATATATGCTTTATAGACAGTCAATGCACATCTACTTGTGATGTTGATTCTTGCAGATTTCGTTGTTGCATATCACTGATTGTTTCCCAAACCCCAAGCCTTGGTTGTGGAAGTCATTAATCGCCATGCTTCTTTGCTGGTCTTTATCTGCTTTTGTTTATACATAGATGATAAATTTCTTATCTCTTTCGATCAAAGCTCTTACATTTACATTTTCATGGCAGAAAGCTGGTTCTAGGCTAGCAAATGCGAAAACTGTGCGATCTCTAACATCGAAAGTCAAGGATATAGACGCGAAGCTCCCACCCTTGGTAATTGAGACAGAGAAAAAAGAGGAAGAAACTTCAGAGGTAGAAGCAAAGCCTGAATCTACTGAAGTTAGTGGCACAAATGAGAATTCTGAAAATGCTGCCAAAACTAAAGAAGCAAATTCCAGAGCATTGCCTCCATTAGAAGTTACTCCATCAAGCAAAAATAGTGAAGAAGCTAAGAAAAGTGAGACTAAGGATTCCGAAGCACAGCCGCTGTCACTAGATATCCCGCCATTAATGAGAGATGGTGAAGAAGTTTCTGAAACCGAAACCAAGGATCCTGAACCAAAGCTGCCTTCGCAAGAAGTTCCACCATCAAATGAAAATAGTGAAGAAGCTTGGAAGACTGTTGTCGAGGATAATGAAGCTCCTGAAGCAACAATGGAGAATTCTGTCAAGGGTTTGGATGTTAAAGAACGAAACTAGTGAAGATTGAAGATGGCAAAAGGCGCTTCATGCCATATGACTTTAACCAGCCATTGACTTGATATGAAGAAAGCTTCAGCCTCTACAATATATAGCTGTATGTGGATTTGCCCCCCAATATTATTTAATTCTGGTTGAATTTTGGATCAATATTTTTTTACCCTTGTTCTCTGTTAAAATTTTATTTTTAGCACGTTGAGGGAGGGAGAGAGTAAAGAGGACACTTGGTTATTCTAATCTCTTCCATAAGAAGAAATTTAGAAGATGAATAAAATTCGGATTTTCGTTGATGTTTTGAACTTTCCATTTTTATATTCCATGTGTTTTCCCCCATATAGTATCTCCTTTATTATATATTGGGTTATTTTCTTCAACCAAAGAAAAATAAAATGAGGGATAAAGGAAAAATGAAGTTCAACAAAATCCTAGGGCTCTTGGATAGTGACATCCATAGATTAAAAATACAAAAACTGTATAACCAAAGTTAAATGGCCTTCTAAAATGCTGGACTGTAAAGAAGTAACGTAGCCGGAGATTGATAATTAATTCCAACTCCCCGGTTGAGACTGACCATGCGAGCTGAAGCATCCATCACACAATCTCTCATTCCGGAACCTTTCCTTCCAGAATATCCTCGTGACGATCTCTTGAATAACCAGCTTCAATAGACTATCCTAATGCCAAAGGTCTGCTACGGGAACTATATCCGGAACGCATGGAACCACCTTGCCTTCCTTGAGTGAAGGAAAAGTCCTAGCCGGTGACATATGGTTATCTCCCTTGATCTTGGCCTTCAGCATGGGCTCTCGGTTTCTTAGAAGCTTCCAAACATCTGGATAAATATCGGTGTTGAAATATCCATATGTTGGGTGTTATCCTGCAAATGACTCATCAGCTGCAAATCACGAAACCAATCAAAAAGGGCATGGTGAGAATTATCACAAAAGCATGGTACAGGCAGGCTTTGGTCTGTCATCTCCATTTTTGTATATGAGAGTCACCAGGACATCCGTTGAAGTGAAGAGTTATTTTCAGGGAAGGTAGGCTTCTAAGAAGCAAGCTATGGAGTAATGTCAATTGAGAAATGCAGATGGACACACTGACCTTTTGTCACTTGAGGCTCATCACCATCTTTTTTCCACTTCCGGTTGCTCCACCAGTTTCCCCATTGCATCATATACCTCTTATGGCTTATAATAGATGAGTCCAACACGCCCGACAGCAATCTTAGCAGTAGACTTCAAATTACCAGTATGCTCTAATTTCTCCTGGATGTTTTGAGCATTAACCAATAACATATATGCCTGTCCAACACACACACACCACTATGTGAGCTGCTCCATCTCCAACTATTTCTTTCTTTTTAAATAATTATAAGGGGGTGTTTGGATGGGGGAATGTGGGATTCCCATGGGAATGGAATCCACATTCTCCCGTTTGGTTAGTCCGGGAATCTCATTCCCGGTAATATAAGATTATCGATAGTGAATTTTTGGGGTATATTACCGGGAATGTCATTACCTCCCTTTCCTTAGATATTGTTGGATTACCGGTGTTTTGGACTAAAATGCCCTTAAAATTTTATTTTTTTTCAAAAATATCCTTCTTCTGTCATTGAATAATAAAAATTCTACGAATGTTAAATTACAAATTTATCTTTAAATTATTTTAGATTTACAAAAAAATATAATTAAAATTTTATTTAAAGTTCAGGGGTTAAAATAAAATTTTACCTTTTCATTAAACCTTTTTTTTATATTTTTAATTTTGTAAAAAAATTATATAAATATTATGAATTTAATTTTTTAAAGAAAAAATATAAATATTTTCCAACTTGTAATATTATAAAAATATATAAAAAAAGATAATTTGGTCAAATATACATTCCAATAATCTTTTATTCCTTTAACCAAATACGGTAATCTTACATTCCTGTTAAGCTAACCAAACACAAAATATAATATTTCCAGTAATCCTATTCCCTGATAATCTTACGTTCCAATGATAATCTTACATTCCGTGAACTAAAAGTACCCTAAGAGATTCAGAATTTTTCTTCATCTATTATTGGCGCATACACTCCCTATCAAAGTCCTCACGTAGACACGTACTACTAATTTGGATTCTTTTAAGAACAACAAAGAGTAGGTTGATCGGACGGTTTAAACATGCGAAATCAAATAACTACTACTAATTACTACTGACCATGGGCCTCACAAAACCCGAAACCTAAATCAGATAGCGAATTACTAAAATGGGCAGGTTAAACAAGACCAATACAATGGGCATAACCGTCTATCCAATAATCATGTCTATATATTAAAACACCACATCTAAGGTGCGTTTGGTTCACGAAATGTAAGATTACCAGTGGAAATAAAAGATTACCAGGGAATATGATTATTGGGAATGTTGTATTTTGTGTTTGGTTGGTTTAGCAGGAATGTAAGATTACCGTGTTTGGTTTAAAAGAATAAAAGATTATTGGAATGTATATTTGACCAAATGTCCTTATTATATATTTGTATATATTACAACTTGTAAAATATTTATATATTTTCTTTAAAAAATTAAATTCATAATATTTATATAATTTTTTTTTACAAAATTAAGAATATAAAAAGGGTTTAGTGAAAGGGTAAAAAATTTTTAACCACTGAACTTCATATAAAATTTTAATTATAGATTTTTTTTTGTAAATCTAAAATAATTTAAGGATAAATTTGTAATTTAACATTCGTAGAATTTTTATTATTCAATGACAGAATAAGGATATTTTTGAAAAAAAATAATAATTTAAGGGCATTTTAGTCCAAAACGCCGGTAATGTTACAATACCTAAGGGAAGGGAGGTAATGACATTTCCGTATAACCCCAAAAAAATCTACTATTGGTAATAAAACATTGTCAGGAATGAGATTCCCGATCAACCAACATGAGAATGTGGGATTCCCATCCCATAGGAATCCCACAATCATGAACCAAATACCCTTTTAGTCCAAAACGCCGGTAATGTTACAATACCTAAGGGAAGGGAGGTAATGACATTTCCGGTAATATACCCAAAAAAATCTACTATTGGTAATAAAACATTGTCAGGAATGAGATTCCCGATCAACCAAACATGAGAATGTGGGATTCCCATCCCATAGGAATCCCACAATCATTGAACCAAATACCCCCTTAGGGTTTATCATACGCCCTCGTCCTTCAAGCTCTCATGAGAAAGCAGTCGCTCCCCTGTCCATCTCAAAATTTGATTATAAATTCGAAAGAAATTTAAAATTTTGTATTGATTTTAAATCTCGATTATAATGGTGGACCAAAGAAAGAGCATAGCAAAACATGGAGATTTTATGCTTAAGATTAGGAAAGAAAATGATTGGATAAAGAAGAAGATGCTTATTTTCAATTTAGATTATAATGGTGGATTAAAGAAAAAGTAGAGCAAAACATGGAGATTTTATACTTGGAGATATGATGCTTTAAGATTGGGGAAGGGGAGGACGAGATAAAAAAGAAGATGATGATTTGGAAACTTTAATTTATAAAGAAATATGATACGGAAGTTGTTGGGGACCATGTATGAGGTGGTGAAAAGATTTCATGTAATAATTTCTCGAATTTATATATATAAAAAAACTGTTTTCAAGTCATGTATGTATTTTCTTTCTACTACAATTTTCTTTTAGAAAAAAACATGAAGTTGGGAAATGACAGATTATAAAAATGGGATAAGGGGAAACTAACAATGAAAAGAAGTATATTTTTAAAACAAAACCCATTGTTATTATACAACTCGATTCAAGTCATTGTCGATGCTTTAATAAACAGGTAGCCTATACCAAGTCTTAAGCCTAGTTAATACATCTGTTGATTTTCCGATATCTTTAATCGTAATGATATTTAATAAGCTTGGTTGCTTCTCTTTGATTGGTCTAACAGTGGTCCTCGTGAAGATGCTACTCGTATCGGTTCTGCTGGCGTTGTAAGGCGTCAGGCTGTTGATATTTCTCCCCTTCGCCGTGTCAATCAGGCCATCTATCTCTTAACCACCGGTGCCCGTCGCATTCAGAAACATTAAAACCATCGCGGAGTATTTGGCTGACGAGCTTATTAATGCTGCAAAGGGATCAGCTAACAGGCAAATTACTTCCAACATTGCTCAAATAGTTTGGATCACTGTCCGTTCCGTTTCCGTTGATGATATGTACTTGATTGTGCAGCTATGCCATCAAGAAGAAGGACGAAATCGAGAGGGTAGCGAAGGTCAACCGTTGATGCTTTACACCGTGGCCGTAGGGGAAATTTTGTTATCTTAAACATGCAATAATTTTTGTTTGCTAAGTGGACAAGTTAGGATTTTTCTTTTTTTGGTTGAGTTTCAGTAGGTATTATTGAAATGAAATAGTTTTGGTGATTGTGATTTTATGAAATTATTTTATTTACATATAGAGACAACACATAGACTTACTACCTCAGTCCCATAGTATTTATCTATTATTGACTTTTTAAAAGTTGGAGTTTTAAACTTTGATTATAATTATTTTAAACAATTAAATTTTATAAAATATATATTAAAAAATACTTGATTGAAGATTTTCAAAATATATTTTCTCATATTTTTATTAATAATAAATTAAATAATAATGAGTCAAAATTATAAAAATTTGGCCTAAAAATCAATAGTAAACAGATTTGACGAGACAAAGGAAATATTTAACGAGCAGCTTATAGCAAAACGAGCACTTACTTATGCACTAATTAAGTAAAATAAGTTAATTATTGATCCTTAATCTCCCCCTTGAATTTAATGAAACCAACGTTCGGAAAATAAAAATATTATCCAACGAGTGACCTACTAATGATGGTGAAATCCTTCCCACGTGTTTTTATATTATGATGGTTACATATAATAGAAAATAAATAAGAGAAAATCGCCTCAGTGACCAAAAATGCCTTATAATATACGATTTTAATCAACTTTTTTTGGATTTGTCAAAATGACCAACAAAATCGCAACGCGATCCCCAGAATCGCAAATCAGTTTCCAAAATCGCAACGCGATTCTTAAAAATCGCAATGCGATAGTACAAATTCGCATTGCGATTTTCCAAAATCGCAACGCGAATATGAAAATCGCAACGCGAACACATAAATCGCAA